ACTGTAAGAACTCTTACATTCCTGACCAGACCACCAGCCAGGGGGCCTGGTCAGGAACAGGGCCGCGGGGACGTTGATCCTCGGAATCATCGACAGGTAATGGAAGGTAATGTGAGACTGCTTGAAGTTGTGGTGGTAATAGTTGCTGTTATTGTTATTATTATTCAGATATGCATAATCACTACACAGCGCTGGGAGATTAGTGGTTCACAAAGTGGCGTGGGAAGGGTGTAGGTTCATAAGATGACGTCATATCATGTGGGGGGGGGGGAGTGATGTCACCACATTGTGTGTGTGCGGAGTGACGTCACCACAATGCCAGCCAGAGGCTTAGGGCCCGCGCAGGAATATCCCTGAAAAAAGAAAAAACAAAAAAAAAACAAAAAAAAACACCACAATGTGTGGGGAGTGACGTCACCACTGTGTGCGGAGTGACGTCACCACATGTGTATGTGACCTCGACGCAAGACGTAAAAACCTTGTGGGAATGTTTGTGGCCAAGGGAGGGGGTCACATCCGCCGCCCCCCCCCTTTCCCCCCACCCCCCTCCCGCACCAAACGCGACAGGAAGGAGGGGGGGGGAGCGGATACCCCCTTCTGCAGTCCACTACCTACGCCTTTCCATTCATATACTCGCAATTAACCTCCACCCAAGACAACCACTAACCCCCACCCAAGACAACCACTAACCTCCACCCAAGACAACCACTAACCTCCACCCAAGACAACCACTAACCCCCACCCAAGACAACCACTAACCCCCACCCAAGACAACCACTAACCCCCACCCAAGACAACCACTAACCCCCACCCAAGACAACCACTAACCTCCACCCAAGACAACCACTAACCTCCACCCAAGACAACCACTAACCTCCACCCAAGACAACCACTATCCCCCACCCAAGACAACCACTAACCCCCACCCAAGACAACCACTAACCCCCACCCAAGACAACCACTAACCCCCACCCAAGACAACCACTAACCCCCACCCAAGACAACCACTAACCCCCACCCAAGACAACCACTAACCTCCACCCAAGACAACCACTAACCTCCACCCAAGACAACCACTAACCTCCACCCAAGACAACCACTAACCCCCACCCAAGACAACCACTAACCTCCAGCCAAGACAACCACTAACCTCCACCCAAGACAACCACTAACCTCCACCCAAGACAACCACTAACCTCCACCCAAGACAACCACTAACCCCCACCCAAGACAACCACTAACCTCCAGCCAAGACAACCACTAACCTCCACCCAAGACAACCACTAACCTCCACCCAAGACAACCACTAACCTCCACCCAAGACAACCACTAACCTCCACCCAAGACAACCACTAACCTCCACCCAAGACAACCACTAACCCCACCCAAGACAACCACTAACCCCCACCCAAGACAACCACTAACCTCCACCCAAGACAACCACTAACCCCCACCCAAGACAACCACTAACCTCCACCCAAGACAACCACTAACCCCCACCCAAGACAACCACTAACCTCCACCCAAGACAACCACTAACCCCCACCCAAGACAACCACTAACCCCCACCCAAGACAACCACTAACCCCCACCCAAGACAACCACTAACCTCCACCCAAGACAACCACTAACCCCCACCCAAGACAACCACTAACCTCCACCCAAGACAACCACTAACCTCCACCCAAGACAACCACTAACCCCCACCCAAGACAACCACTAACCCCCACCCAAGACAACCACTAACCCCCACCCAAGACAACCACTAACCTCCACCCAAGACAACCACTAACCCCCACCCAAGACAACCACTAACCTCCACCCAAGACAACCACTAACCTCCACCCAAGACAACCACTAACCCCCACCCAAGACAACCACTAACCCCCACCCAAGACAACCACTAACCCCCACCCAAGACAACCACTAACCTCCACCCAAGACAACCACTAACCCCCACCCAAGACAACCACTAACCCCCACCCAAGACAACCACTAACCTCCACCAGGCGAGTGACGCAACAACAACTTGCGCGTCAGAACAGAGACGCACGTCTGGAAAACACCGTCAGTTTCATATTGTTATTATCACTAAAACACTTGTCAGTGTTCTACTTAATAAAACTATTTGATTAAGTTGAAATATACAACTCAGCGAAGGATATTTATTTATTTGTTAAGGTAAGTCTTGGGTTTGGCAAGCGTAGGCCCGGTCCCTCTGGCACGGGTGGAGAGGGCTGCCCCGCCCCTGACCCAGGCCCTAGGGGCACCCTGATAACTCTAGGGAGGCGCTCTGTCCCCGACAACAGGGATTAAGTATCCCACCAGTCCCTCGCCCGTCCCTCAGGGAGGAGGTCTGATTACAGAGTGATTACAAGAGAGTGGATAACGGTACCTGGATAGTACCTGGCGAGGGTTCTGGGGTTACTTCCCAAACTTGGCGTGGGGGGCCAAGCTTGACAGGGTTCTCAGATTGTGCCTATGGCAGGTCTACTCCCCTCTGGCTCTCTTGTGCATTTCCTGCCATATCGACCACATTTGCTTGGTTATGATTCCTTAATGTTAGGTAGTCAGACGTCACTATTACACGGTGCATTACATGCTGCGTTCCTAGTATGAGTAGGCCTGATTGTGTCTAGTAGCCTGTATTTCGTTTAAAACCTTCAGTTTTCATATCTCAGTACCTGATATTTGTCACTGTTAAACGTCATGTTATTTTATGCTACCCAATTTAAAACTTAATTAATATCTGGCTGTAGTTTTTCAATGACTTCTACACAAGTAATTTTCATGATTATTTTTCGGTCTTTTTACTCTTGGAGAAAAATGTACCTGAGCTATGACACGTAGTTAACTCACTTATGGGGCGGACATATCTAAGTCCCGCCTCACAACCGCCACCCACTCCCCGCCACCCAAACCCTATACACCCAAACCCTACACCTTCAAATACTAGAATCCCGCAGCAATGCTAATACTATTTAAATCACTGGTGCTGTCCCGTCTTGAGCACTGCTCAGTACTCACTTCCCCTTTCAGAGCAGGAGAGGTTTCTGAAGTAGAGAGAATACAGAGCACCCAATAATTTAGGTGCTTTATCATACTGATAAAGCACCTAAATTATTGGGACCGTCTTCTCAAAATGTACTCTCTGGAAAGGAGACGAGAGAGATATGAAATAATATATACATGGAAGATACTGGAAAACCAGGTTCCAAATTTGCACAGTAGCTACACAGGAGATACAGAATAGAACCTGAGAGGAGAAGAGGTGCCATAGTCACAATCAGGGAACAGTTCTGATGTCTGAACATCAGAGGTCCATAGCTGTTCAACACACTTCCAGCAAGCATTAGAAATATGACCAGAATAAAGCTGGACTTCTTCAAAAATCAATTAGATAGGTTCTTGCAGAAGTGCCTTGCAGGACTCGGAGAGCAGAAAAACTCAGGAAACCATGTCCAGGTAAGTTGCAGGTAGCACCGACCTAACCCCTCAACACCCCCACCCCCTGCACCTCCCTCCAAGGTGACGGTCACGCTGGAGGCCACAATAACACTGAACAAAGCGAGGGTCTGGTAAGATTCTTCACCTGACGCTCAAGAGTGATATGTGTCGGTGTTCACCTGAGCTTGACAAGTTACCGTGTTCACCAGAGCGTGACAAGGCACCGTGTTCACCTGAGCGTGACAAGTCGCCGTGTTCACCAGAGCGTGACAAAGCACCGTGTTCACCTGAGCGTGACAAGGCACCGTGTTCACCAGGACCGTGCTGGGTTGACGGGTAGTTGAGGAGACAGGGAAGGTGCCAGGTCTAACACCAGGGCCTTGTCCTCAGTTGTTACAATAGGGAGAGAGAGAGGGGAGAGAGAGAGAGAGAGAGAGAGAGAGAGAGGGGGAGAGAGAGAGAGAGAGAGAGAGAGAGAGAGAGAGAGAGAGAGAGAGAGAGAGAGAGAGAGAGAGAGAGAGAGAGAGAGAGAGAGAGAGAGAGAGAGAGAGAGAGAGAGAGAGAGAGAGAGAGAGAGAGAGAGAGAGAGAGAGAGAGAGAGAGAGAGAGAGAGAGAGAGAGAGAGAGAGAGAGAGAGAGAGAGAGAGAGAGAGAGAGAGAGAGAGAGAGAGAGAGAGAGAGAGAGAGAGAGAGAGAGAGAGAGAGAGAGAGAGAGAGGGAGGAGAGAGAGAGAGAGAGAGAGAGAGAGAGAAAGAGAGGAGAGAGAGAGAGAGAGAGGAGAGAGAGAGAGAGAGAGGGAGAGAGAGAGAGAGAGAGAGAGAGAGAGAGAGAGAGAGAGAGAGAGAGAGAGAGAGAGAGAGAGAGAGAGAGAGAGAGAGAGAGAGAGAGAGAGAGAGAGAGAGAGAGAGAGAGAGAGAGAGAGAGGGAGGGGAGAGAGAGAGAGATGAGAGAGAGAGGAGAGAGAGAGAGAGAGAGAGAGAGAGAGAGAGAGAGAGAGAGAGAGAGAGAGAGAGAGAGAGAGAGAGAGAGAGAGAGAGAGAGAGAGAGAGAGAGAGAGAGAGAGGGAGAGAGAGAGAGAGAGAGAGAGAGAGAGAGAGAGAGGGGAGAGAGAGAGAGAGAGAGAGAGAGAGAGAGAGAGAGAGAGAGAGAGAGAGAGAGAGAGAGAGAGAGAGAGAGAGAGAGAGAGAGAGAGAGAGAGAGAGAGAGAGAGAGAGAGAGAGAGAGAGGGGAGAGAGAGAGAGAGAGAGGAGAGAGAGAGAGAGAGAGAGAGAGAGAGAGAGAGAGAGAGAGAGAGAGAGAGAGGAGAGAGAGAGAGAGAGAGGGGAGAGAGAGAGAGAGAGAGAGAGAGAGAGGAGAGAGAGAGAGAGGAGGAGAGGAGAGAGAGAGAGAGAGAGAGAGAGAGAGAGAGAGAGAGAGAGAGAGAGAGAGAGAGAGAGAGAGAGAGAGAGAGAGAGAGAGGAGAGAGAGAGAGAGAGAGAGAGAGAGAGAGAGAGAGAGAGGTGCTACAGCAACAAGGAACAAGGTGACAACTACACAAATACTATCGAAATTACCAACACTATTTATGAGGAATTCGAGCAAGGCCATCGAAGGCCAGACGTCCCTTCTCACACCACACTCCTCGCTCTCTTCCACTACACCTTGCTGCGGCGGCGGCTGCTGCTACTTCTGTCACTGCTACGTCTGCCACGGCTACTTCTGCCACTGCTACGTCTGCCACTGCTACGTCTGCCACTGCTACGTCTGCCACTGCTACGTCTGCCACTGCTACTTCTGCCACGGCTACGTCTGCCACGGCTACGTCTGCCACTGCTACTTCTGCCACGGCTACTTCTGCCACGGCTGCTTGCGACACGGCTACTTCTGGCACTGGTACTTGCGACACGGCAGGTTGATTCACAAGGTTCCCAGCATCTTAAGTCTGCTATACATCTCCGGGGACCCCATCAGTACCGAGGACAGTGTTGTAGGGATGTCTGGTCGCCTAGTCTGTGTTTTATAAGTAATAACTTAAGTGGGTATCCGGCTGCGCCCAGGTCTCTCTGTCTCCCAATCTCCCAGCCTCCCTCTTCCCTCTCTCCAAATCTCTACTCCCCACTCTATCACCTCTCTCCCTTACTCTCCCCTCACCCCCCCAACCCTCTCTCTCACTGCTAAGCCCTTCTTCTCTTTCATAAAATATAATATTAGAAAGGAAGGAAACAATGAAAAAATCTTCGGGCATTTCAACCAATATTTCACATTTGATGAGAACTGACTCTTTAGACTCGGATGGGGGTGTGAATAATTACTAATATTTATTAAACCGTTTATCTTAGACTTACCCCGAGCGACCTATGTCCGTCCCATACCCAAGACCATTTCCTCTACAAATCTGAGTATGGCTAGCCCCAAGTGTCTGGCCTCCAGCCTAGGACAGACAGACATACATTTTCTCTAATACGTATAAATATAGTAGAGAAAATATTACATAGGAAATAGTATTAAAGCCCTTGTCGTTATTTATCACTGGAGTATTTACATGTATTTACAATAATGTATTTATCACATACATTATTTATGTGTGTATAATGTATGTTTGGACTTGTGTGAGTGTCGAACACAGTTGTGTCCCTCATATCTTCTTCATTGTTCAGGGGATCAAATCGAGGATGTTTTCGCTCCAGGTTGGCTGTGTTATCTCTTGCTTGAGTGCACATTTTGTATTAAATTTAAGGAGCTATGTTTGGTTATTTCTGGTTTGATCCACATAACATCCCGCCTTTCCCCACATACCCTCCCCCCCCCCACATGCCCGCATCCTCCCCCCGCCCAGCACACATTCCCGAACGCACGTGTCCCCCTGCCCCTCTACCCCCTCCCTCTGTAACCACAAATCCCTTCCTCGTCTACATTTCTACCAGATCGTCCCTCAACCCTCCTGCCCTTCACTTTGCATCACTCCCCCACTAACACCCGCCCTCCCCACCAGGGCCTCGACCTTGAGGGTTGCGTCACCCCCCCCCCACACCTTGCGTCACCCCCCCCTCATCAGCACGCACCACCCACCTAATAATAACACAGTAGTCCACACAGCTCCCTCTGCCTGCACCAACACCATCACACACCATCAACATTCCTCCGCCACTTGCAACTCTTATCCTAAATCAGCTCCTCAAGATTGCTCACGAGGATGATTGGTGTCACTGTATTAGGTGTTTGTGGTGCTTTCATATTAACTGCAGGATGAGGCGAGAGCCAACCCCTGGAACAGGGCTCTCGTGAGGGCATTTGACCGCCAATATCTGCTTGACAGGACATGGTCTCTATGGTCGTCGGGGGATGGAATGGTTCGTAGTTGATAATTCCGTCCGTCCCCTCCAGCGCTCACATCGTCACTAAATTGCCCAAACCTAACCTAACCGAGCACCCACGAATAGAAAACGGAACATCAGGTCAAGTCTGCGAGCCGCTATGATTTTGAGTACATCATATTTAGGCCTTAGGGGAAGTTATATGTCACAATATGATGTGGTGTTGGAGAGGAAGGGCTGATCACCCATTACTCCAGTGACACTCTTGCTGACAACAACATGTGTTATACAACAGCCGTGTTTGTTCTGGTTACTGACGGGGATGGCCTGGTCGGGGAGGCTGGAGAACATGCCAGTGAGGCGGCCCACATCACGTGACCCTGGAGAACAGCTGTGTGCTGAGAGTGTAGCAGCAACAAGAGGGAAGGGTGTGGCAGAGGCACTACAGGGGTAGAAAGCTGGCCTCAGCCGACCCTGGCAGCCGTGAGGACCAACCAACGGTCCACTGCTACGCTCTATAAGACCTTGATGTACAATCATAATTCATCAGGTGTCTTTGCTTACAACCCCACCACCACCACCACCACCACCACCTTGCAACACAAGGGCAGGCAAGCCAATGTTACTGCCCCCAGCTGACCCTAACACTCGAGGGAGTTAGCTCGTGTCTGTCAATGTTTGCAGATATCGAAAAGCTGACGAGGACTGTAAAGACACAGGAGGACCGCAGGAAGTTACAGGAGACCCTTGACGAACAACAAAAGTAGTCAAAGAAATGGCTGCTGGAATTCAGTCCCAACAAGTGTAAGGTAATGAAGATAGGAAAAAGAGAGAATGCATCTACACCATAAGGGAAAGGCAGCTACACAAATCGGAGACAAATATTTGGGAGTGAATATTTTTCCAAGACTCACGCCGGAGGAATTCACAAACGGGATAACATCGACAGCATATGGGACGCTGACAAACATTAGAACGTCATTTAGGAACCTAAATCAGGACTCCTTCAAGGCAATCTAAATAAGATCTGCTAGTCCAACACTGGAATGTGCAGCATGGAATTTGCACCATGTGAAGCATAAAGCTAAAATTGAATAGGTACAACAGTTTGCAACATGATTGGAATCGGAGCTAAGAGGGTTAAGTTATGAGGGTAGGTTAATGTAACTAAATCTAGTAACCCCAGAAGATAGTAAGAACAGAGACGATATGTACACAACATAGACGATACTGAGGAGAATAGATAAGATGGACAAGAACAGCCTCTTCAAATTGAGAGAAGGTAAGACACGAGAACACAGGTAGAAGCTGGAAAAAAATGAGTCGAAGGAATGTAAGGAAGTACTCGTACCCTGAACGGCCGGTCAACAAGTGGAATGTACTGAAAGAAGTTGTGGAAGCCACCTCCAGCCACAAATTTAAGGGCAGATTCTACACAGATTTTGAACGTCAGAATAGTTAAATTATAACGCAACAGGTACAACAATGGTGACAGGCGGGGCATAAAGAGCAAGACCTCACTCCCTCGTAGACACTGTTAAGTAAGTACTATTAGTTAAGTGCTCAACACAAGCCAGTGTTACTGCCCCAGCTGACATCACAGAGTTCACAAATGTGTTTCTTTGGTTGATGTAACAGCAGTAGAGATCAGCGAGTGATGCCAACGACGGAAACACTAAGATGAGAGCTGACCTTATCTTCAGATGGCGTATCATTCAAGTCGACGAACGTTTGAGGAACAATAAAAATGGAAAGGGGCAGTCAACGAGGTGAAGGGTAGGTGGGGGGGGGGGGCGGAGGTCAGAGGTGAAGGTGGGGGTCAAGTAAGCGAGGTGAAGGGGGATGGGTTGAAGGGTGGGTGGGTGAGGTCAGTGAGGAGAACGAGAGAGCCGCTACGAATTGTCTTAAGTAGTAATTTAGGAAGACGGGCAGCAATGTTGAAATTTCCTTCACTGCGATGCTGATGTTGTAATGTTCGACAGCTGCAGGCTCCACACCGTGTCTCATAATGTTGCCTTAGTCGGTGATGAGCTCCTCATCTGTGAGTGTGGCGAGGGGGATGCTTATGGCTCCTAATGAATCAACATGACACATACACAACACTCAAATCATCCAAGTCTTAGACTGTTTGATATATGTGTAGAGTGTTACAAGACTTGCGTGCCGGAGTACATGGGGAACACAAGACAACACAACGCCTCTAACTCCATGGCAAATTGAATCCAAGACATTAGGCAACCTCCTTGTCAGGAGAGATTCGCAAAGACCATATTGAATACTTCATACCTAAGACTCAACTACAAATTAGAGGTATTATCAGGCAACATCACCGTGACAAGGTAACTGAGGAAAGGAGGATAGAAGCACAAACCAGTGAATCTGTACGATGGTACAACATGGTTGCAGCTGGCAATCCCAGTCATTATGGCCGAAGAGGAGGAGGACGAGGAAGAGAATCAGTAATAGCGAGAATCCGTCTTGAATACAAATATCCATGGAGATATGGAATGGAAACAACAGTTGATCAGCGGAGTTGCAGAATCTGTGGTGAGAGTGATGGACACCGCCTTGACCACTATCTACGTGAATGTGAACACCTGAGAGACATTAGAAATATGTGTAGAATAATAAACCCCGCATTGTTTGAGTTAGGAAAACACTATTTGTCAAATATTGATACTGTTCTTAAAAGATTTCCCCATTTTGCACCCGCAAGATAACGTAAGCTTGTAAGGGTTGATAGATGTTAATCTTCTTGTTTGAGGAGCTGTTCACTTGAGACAGTTAAGCAAGTCCCAGCTGTGTCTGGGTACAAGTGACAGGATGAACAACCCAGCGGGTTTTCTTCCTATTGGGGAGTGTCGTACATGCTGCTATGGCGGTGTGTCCACTCACAAGATGAGTGGCGCTGCCCAATACTGTCACTATGGCGGTGTCCACTCACAAGATGAGTGGCGCTGCCCAATACTGTCACTATGGCGGTGTGTCCACTCACAAGATGAGTGGCGCTGCCCAATACTGTCACTATGGCGGTGTGTCCACTCACAAGATGAGTGGCGCTGCCCAATAAACTCGCCCCTCGGGACAAAATTTAAAATTTAACAATCCACTACCCCTAGAAAAGTAGGAGTTAGGGTGGCACATGACAGATGAAGAATGAAGAAAATGTATAAGAATAGAGAGTATTAACAGCGCACCAAATATATTAATACAAAATAGAGCCTGAAACAATGGATACAAAGTGAATAACTTTTGATTCGGGAAAGAACTGGTTTGTATGATGTTCTAAACTAATGAGGATAAACCGCTATGCCAATATGACTCTATACAGCTCTTGTAAGGAATATGAGGAGAGACACGGAGCTGAGATATAAGGACGGAGCCAAGGACTCATCCCTAGCACTTGGACCACTAAGGATCCAGCTCCAGACCAGCAAAAAGCTTGGCCGTAGCTTTGCTCCCCAATCCGAGTAGATGAACATTTTGAGGCTTTACGTTTGAGCTCATCTTCTGGATCTTGGAGGAGTGTGGGGCGCTGGAGTAACTGCGAGGTGTCTTCTAGGATTGCAGAGGCAGCGTTGCTCTCTTATTTGCACCTCCCGTTACCCCTTAATGATGAGTGTTGAGCAGGTGTATGATGCAGTTGTTTTTGGTGTGTGGTGCAGCTGTTCTTACCCTGCCCGGGTACTGCTTCAT